TCAGATAACGTGTAAGATAGAAAAAAAAAAACAAAACAAAACCCAACAACAACATATACAGACACTTGTTGGAAGGAGACGTTGAGGTATTTATCCACCGCCTAGGCTATCACATTTCTTTTTTATTTATTTTATTTTTTAAATAGCTAAGAAAACTAGTAGCAAGGCTGCTGCAGCTGTTTGGTGAAAACATCTGCTGATCCGAATCCGTTTTTGAAGCGCACACGCGCAGCGGCCAAAGGAACTCGGTGTGACACTCTCACATTCAGTTTGGGAGCCGAGCGGGCACGCAGCCTCCCCCTCGCCTCTTCCCCCAGCTCACAATCTTTGTGCCTTCCCACCATAAACTGGGATCTGCCAGAAGAGGACGAGCAGGTTTGGTTTTGTATTTTGTAAGTTGTATTTTTTTTGTTGTTTTCCCCAGCTGGCAAATCTCCCCGAAACGGGAGCATCAAAGGCTGCACAGAAGCAAGCTGGGGGCTTTTCTTTTTCCTTTTTTTTTTTTTTTTTTTTTTAAATTTTATTTTATTTGGCTGCTCACTGCAAAAACCTTTGCTGGTCTGGAGTTGAAAGAGTATTAGCCACACTGCAAAGCGGAGCACTTCACGCGAGGAACAGTCCTACCCGCAGTATCAAAACCCCTGAGTACTTTACAATCGAACACGGTCGAGTGAAATGAAGCGGAGCCGGGGGAAAGCAGCGGGGAGGGATCCACCACCTTCCCCCGGCTCCCGGCTCCTCCGCCCCGTCTCTGCTGCTGGTTTCCATAACCCTGTCCCCAAAGCCTGGCAGCTCAGTAGGAGATCTGGAGCTCGACGAGAAGCCAACTGCCAGTATCAATGCCAGGCTCAGGGAAAGGGTTAACTCTTCACAGTCTGAGTTGGCCAGTCCTTGTCAGCGGGTACTGAGAAAAGGACCAGTTTATTGTTGCAGCTTATTTTTACTGAGGTATCTGTTACGCATCCCAACTTGATTCTTTCCCTGAATTGGATACAAAACAATCTGTTAGTCCCTGTCTAGTTCCAGTCTAGTTGTGTAAAGCTTATAAACATTAATACTCTAGTAGTGTCAAAGCTGTTTAGCAGTTCAGTGATTCGAGTGCCTTTCTGTGCAAGGAAACACAATGTTAGCATGTGATACATAAGCGAAACCACCCATTACTAACCTCTGCTCCCCAGGACCAGAGAAGAAAGCGTAAGGAAAAGCAAAAAGTCCCCCAGTCCCACTCATAGGAAATAGCTCCCAAACCCACCCCCAAATTAAAAAAAAAAAAACAAACCAACAAACAAACAAAACAACAAACAACCGGAAGAAAACAAAAAAGGGAAAAATCCCCCAACAACCTGAATGAGCCCCAGAGTCTGGAAAATCCTCTCTGAGCCTGCGAGGATGAAATGCCGTGGAGGCGTGCGGCACGCGTTCCTCCAGCTAAAACCAACCGGAGATGGGACACGTCGGAGCAGCATCTATCTCAGGACACGTACTTTTCCTCCCACCACGTCCTGACCGTGTCGGGTAGGAGGTAACTCAACTCATAGTGTATAAACTAACACGTAGAGAGCACGGAGCCTCTTGCAACTACCAGGAGGTCCTGCCCGTGGTTTACACAAGCCTTAGTAGGAGCACTCAGCTCTCAAGGACAGAGCGGCCGCCCAGCCCAGTGGTGCTGTGGGATTGAAAAGGAGAACCTGACATTTGAGAGTTTAAAGGAAGGATTAGTCATTTTGTTTTCTATGTACGTTTTTAAGCTCAATCCCCAGGCTGCTGATGGGTTTTTTTCCCCGTGGTGGTACCTGGCCTGGTGTTTTGAAGAGCTGTGCTGTTTTCAGTAGTATAAAATAACCAGCTTCTGGGAGCACGAGGACTATGCCACAGCTAACCAGAGGCACTACAGGAGGGCACCTCCCTCAGACCCATAAGGTCTCATGGAATACTAAGGCTGAAGTTGCTCGCAGTGCATCGCAGAAATGACTGAGCAGGGAAGGGACAGACGCTTTGGGCCGTGCTGGGGCTCAGCGGTGCAGGTAGCCACAGCCTGGAACCACAACAGCACCTACAAACAGGTGAAAATCTAGAGTAACTTCTTATTTTGGCACCTCTCACAAAGGCTGTCCAGCACAGATTTGTCTTGTGGTGTAGACAGACTTCTCTGTGTCTACAAGTCCCAGCACAGCTGAGGTGGTTGGGTGCAGCACCACGAGACCAAACTGTGCTTTCAGGTGCCAGAAAGCCACTTTCCTGTGAGATGCTGGGCCCACCTGTAGCATAAGCAGTGCTGGCATCTCCCGGCTGCACCAAGCAGCTTTGCTAAAAGGTAAGCACAGATCCTGGAGCTTGGAAAAAACAACAGGGACTTTGGAGACACCCTCGTGTCCAACACACAGGACAGATCTTCTAAGTCAGCAGCCACTCTTGCCCTTTTTTCCTACCTCTACCTGTCCTCCTGCGCCACACGCACATGTCCTGGGACAATGCTGTTCAGCTTGTCTCCTGCTAGCCTAAAAGACAGGGAAGTCACTGCTCCTTTGCTCAGCTTTTCTTTCTGTCTTTGGTGATACAATTGCAAATAATAATAAAAAAACCCCACACAATGTCAGCAAAACCACATATAAAAAAAACCCAAGCGATAAGATATGCCAATAACTCCTGAAGAGGTTAAAAAAAACCAACCCAAAACAAACAAAAAAACCCAACCCCAACAACAAGCACATATCTGAGGTATTTCATCTGCTCAAAAAACCCTGACTTGGGCCTGGAGGATGGGAAGGACGTCACCAGGGCAGGATGGATGGATGGTGCTTGGACCTGAGCTCCAGGCTGGGGAAAGTGCGGGTGGGAAGGAGAGGAGAGGAGAGGAGAGGACAGAGAGGAGAGGACAGAATGAGGCCACCTGAGCAGGAGTTGAGTCCATGGAGTCACTAAGTCGGCTCGGTTGGCTCCAGATGCGAGCGCCATGGCCAACCTCCCCTTGCTTTCAACTGGAGTTTTGAAGGGAAAGGGCAAGGAAGAGCTTGATTTCCTTTGCTCTGCTTCCACCCAGGAGAGCAAAAGGTCCTACTCAGCTGAGATGGAGCCACTTTTTGCTCACATACAGTTTGGAAGGGACTGGGCAGCCATAGACTTGCTCAGAGACCAACGCAAAGACGCGCGTGTAACGTTCCCCGCGACGCCGACGGGCGCCCCACGGCCCCACCGAGTTACGTTTCAAACATTGCCGTCTATTTTCTCAGCACACGGGCGTGGAGAGCTGCCAGGGGCTGCTGAAAGACACCTTGGGAGAAGGAAGTCACTCCAGGAAGCCCAGATCAACCTAAATGACAGCCCTTTTGTGTCACGGGGGCCGAGGATCAAAACACTGCGCCAAAATCAGTTCAGGCCGTCAGGGTAAATGTCAGTGGGACGAGTTCCTCAAGGGGAGAGAGTCAAGGTCAAGGGCATTTAAAACTTGGCTGAAAGCCTGAAGAAGGCAACAGTAGGGAAGAGGCCAGCACCAGCCAAGAGAAGGAAGCAGCTGATGGAGAGGGTTTTAATGTGTCTATGGGTCAAACGTAGCAGTGAGAAAGTCCTTCCTCTCTTGCCAAGACCTCGGAGAGGGGGAAGGAGGCTCAGGAGCCAAGAGCGTGTGTTCTACAGGAGGATGTACAAACACCGGACCACGACAGAGCCCGAAGAAAAGCGAGGAAGCTTGCCTGTTCTGCAACCAGGTGGCCTCCTAAAAAGCCACGGCAGGACAGGGGCAAGGCACCCCACCGGCTCTTAGGATTGTCAATACACAGAGGTGTTTTGTGGGAAGAGTCCTTGTGGCTACTGGTTCGAGGAGAACCGAGTTGCCCTGCCCCAACTGCAGCTCTTTCCACCTGCCTTGGTGACGTCTCAGCCCTCTCTCAACCTGCAGCTCCTAGAGACGATCCCTGATTGAAAAACGCCAGGCATGCCCCCCACCCCCCGCCCATGGCCCACCCCCCCAACAGGAACACAGCAAACCCTGGGAGGAGGAGGAGGAGGAGGAGGAAGAAAACAACAAAAAACCAAAGGGAGGAAGAAAGAGGAGAACAAAGGAAAAGGCTGGACAAACAGACGATGAAGAAAGACTCGCTGGCATGGAAAGGTTTCAGCATCATCATCATCTTGCCGTTGGCCAACCCCAAAAGCAGGTTCCTTGAGATGAGGTAATCTGTGCGACTCCTTCCCGGCTCGCTCCCTGCCGAGAGCGGAGAGGAAGGGCT